CGAATCAGTTCCAGGGGTGAAGCATTCATGTAGTACCGTCCTTTAAAGACTCGAGAAAACAATGTATTGGGTTTCTCTATCAATTGCCATAACTGTTTGCCTAGCATGGCTGTGTTGAAGTCCGTGAGGTCTTTAAAACCTAAACCACCTTCATCTTTTTCTAGACATACTTTGTCCCACGATTTCCAATGCATACCTTTCGTACTACTCCCTGGACTCCACCAGAATTGTGCTACTGCACTCGTCAGTTTCTTTGTAGTTTCCTTGGGTAGCCGGTAACAAGACATCACATGATTTGGTAATGATGTGACCACTGATTTGATAATCACCTCCTTCCCTCCCTTAGTAAAAAACTTAAACGTCCAGCCATTAACCCTATTATTCAAGCGATCATGGATGAAACCAAAAACTTGTATCTTTGAACCTTCGATGTTTTCAGGTAAGCCCAAATAAGATCCAATCCCTCCTAGATTTTGGATTCCCAGTATATCACGCAGTTCCTGACTGGTAGTTTCCTCAATCGTATGCCCAAATTGGATTGATGATTTTTGAATATTTATTAATTGTCCAGAAATAACCTCGTACTCCTTGGGTATCCTAAGAATGGTTTGACACTCCTCTTTTTTGCGCTTTGCAAAAGAAAAGACTATCATCCGCAAATACTAAATGAGAAATGGCTGGGCAGGCTCTAGCAACCTTCATACCGGTCAATTGCTTCTCTCTTTCCGCCTTTTTTTATATTTGCTATTAAGGCCTCGGTACACATAATGAATAGATAAAGCGATAATGGATCACCCTGCCGTAAACCCCTATGTGGAATAATGATTCCACGCGGTTGGCCGTTTAATAACACCCTATATTGGACCGATGATATACACGCCATCATTAACTTAATCCAATGTGAAGCAAAACCCATTTTGCAGAGAAGTGCTTGAATAAAGGCCCATTCTATCCTATCATATGCCTTGCTTATGTTTGTTTTAATCGCCATGTATTTTCCTTGACATGCTTTATTGGTTCTAAGACAATGAAACATCTCCTGAACAATAAGAATATTATCCGATATCAACCTTCCTGCCACAAATGCCGACTGAGTTTCCGAGATAAGTAAGGGAAGACATAGCTTCAATCTTTGGCAAAAGACTTTCGAAATAATCTTATACCCTACATTACATAGGCTTATGGGCCTCAATTCCGTCATCTTTGTAGGTCTCTCAGTTTTCGGGATCATACAAATGTTAGTGATATTTAATCTTGAATCCAACTCTCCTGAAACTAAAAACTTGTTTACCATATCCATGATAATATGCCACGCATGTTGGAAGAAGAGAGCAGTCATTCCATCCGGTCCACGTGCCTTCTCAAGATGCATCATGAATAAAGCTTGTTGTACCTCTTCCTCGGTCGCTGCCCGTAACAACCTTTGATTTATCTGAGAAGTGATACATGGATTAATCACCTCTAGAAACTCCTCAAACTCTGATGGAGAAGTGGTACTAAATAATTCCTCAAAATAATCTACTGCCACTTTTTCAACACCATTATCATCCATGATCCAGTTTCCATAAGCATCATGTATTTCCACAATCCTATTACGAACTCGGCGTTGTTTTGTTAGCGCATGATAAAACTTGGTGTTGAGATCGCCGTTCGTGTTCCGCATATTTATACTTTTCTGATGCCAATACTCCTCGTCCTTGTATGCATCATGTAGTTTCCTGGATACCTCTAGTATTTCCTCCTGAGACCGAGTATCATCTGTTTGAACTTCTTCCAGGGTTTTCTGAAGTTCATTTATTTTATCCTTCCCATATGGTGGATTATTCTTCTGCCATCTAGCAATTTCATGACGACAATTGCTAATTTTTGTAACAAAATCTTCAGTAACTCCCCCATTGTGCTCTGTCCAACCTGCAGCAATGGACTCCATAAAGCCATCCCGTCTAATCCATCTCTTATCAAACCAAATTGTCTTTTTCTTCTAGAGACTTTATCTTCCATATACGCCACTACTGGCCGATGATCAGACGCTACCATTCCTAAATATTCCGTATAAGAGCAGGGAAAAAGAGTGTGCCAATTTTCCTTTGCTAGAGCTCGATCTAATCGACATCGAACCATCACTGCCCCTTTTTCTTTGCCTCTCCGCCCTTGCCATGACATCTTGTTTCCCCTGGCCGGGAATTCTAATAATCCACTATTCCTAATCATATTGTTGAAAGGAACAAAAGAATCTGGTCGTCGCACAGCCCCACCCTCTTTCTCATGATTGCCGGTGATCTTGTTTAGATCTCCAATGATAAACCAAGGTTCTGATCTCGATAATCCACATCTTGTTAGTCTTTCCCATACTTGTTCTCTCAAATTTTGGTCCGGATCGCCATAAACAAAGGTTAAGAATATCCGTTTACCCAGAGTTACTGCTTCCACATCTATCATCTGATTGCTGGAGTAAAGAATCTTCAACTGGTACTCATTATTATAGAAAAGCGCCAATCTCCCACTCCTGCCATGTGGATCAACCGTAACCAGATTATCATATCCGAGATGTGCTTGGAAATTTTGAACAAATTCAAACTCCTGCTTTATTTCAGATAAGAATAAAAAAATCTGGTCTATGTTGATGCCATATTTCCCTTAAATAGCTTATTGTCCACTTGCTTCCCATTCCACGGCAATTCCAACTAAGAACTCTCATAAGAAAATTAATATTTTTTGCAAAGCTTGAAGAAGCTAAGAAAATCGGATGTGATGATATCCAGATATCTATGTCCTCTTATACCAATAATCCACCATGGTAGAAAAGTATTGACCTCCGTTATCTCTTTTTGTTGACCCCCAAGCTAGAAGTAGTAAAGGTATATTCCATCGTAAATAAAAAAGAAATGAGAATATATTATGACCCAAGATCGATTCCTACGTGTGGTCCTTGACACAGGTGATAATTTGATCAATTTAAAGCCTCCATAAGAAAAACCAGTGAACCAAATTGTCGATTTCAATTTGTTAAGTTCCACCCATCACAATAAGTGTCACCACTACATTAAACCACTAAACCGCTAAGTATCAACCATCACATAAACTGTCAAGTGTCACCGATCTCATTAGTTATTTTTTATGATTTGTGTTTTTCAAAAATAAAAGTTATCTGAGTGCATTATCGTAAACAATATATTTCAAGTGAACTGTATTGATGAATAATAGTGATTGCGAAGGACTCTCTTCTATCTATTTTGTTTACTCATCCATACTTTTAATCGAACACTTTCGATGCACTAAACAATCATTAATCTTAGTACTGGCTTAAGAGCAGTGCTCAAGATGCTTTTGCACCAGATCCCTCTTTTTACCAAGGTACTTTTGCATTAGATCTCTATTTCCCATTTGAACAAATTCCATTTTGACATATGAATACATTAATTCATAGTATTCACAACAAAAAAAATCCAGTTATTCCAAAATCCAGTCATTCGGACAATCAAGTATTATCCGGAAAAAAAGTATTATCCGAAAGGTCCACCATATTATTAGCGAAGTCATTAGTTCAATATCAGTTCTAAAACATTCTTGTAATTATTTACATATACAGTAAAACCTATATAAATTAATACTTTTTAAATTAATAATCTCAATAAATTAAGAATTTTTCTCAGTCTTAATTTGGGCCGATTCAAAATTTGACATAAATCGATAGAATAATAAAATAATAACTTTTGAAAATTCTATGTAAATATATAGTCTCATTAAAATTACAAGTTAATAATAATATGTATATATAAAATTATATTGTTTATTTTATTCACAATGGAATTCTCTTTATATTTTCTTAACATTTATTATATTTTTCCTGAGATTTGGTAATATTATGTCTAAAACCACATTTAGATTATATGCAATATATATTATATACGCATAAGAATATAAATAAATTAATAGAAAATTTTTAAAATTTTTAAAAATTTCAAAAATAATAATTAATGTTTATACACTAATCAAATATCTTTTATTTTAGAATAAATTTATTTTAATGTAAAAAATCTAAATAATTTTTTTTGTAAATTAGTATCTCTATAAATTAATAAAATTTCAAAGTCTCATCATTATTAATCTATAGAAGTTTATGTATTTTCTAGTCGCTAAATAAGTATAAATATACATTTTAATAAGCTTATTCTCAGTTTTCGATTTGAATTTGATTATTTTCTTACGTTTTGTGATCACAATACACCAAACCTTCCTTTTTATAAGAAGTCTGCACTTTCTTTTAAGTTAGAGGATTAGTGTATAATAATAAGGATATGAATTTTTTCATTATCTAATGGTCTAAAGTTATGCAAATGAAAAAGTAACACTAGACACTTAATCATAAAGCTATCCAATAAAAGTTAGACAAAGAGATGTGTATGTTTTGATCAAAAAAGGAGATGCGTATGTAATCAAGAACTTAAAACAACAAAAATAACCAAACATATATTTTACATGATTCGAGTTTTTATTTATTTTAGAGCCATGTTTAGAACCATGTAGTTTAGATCTTTGTATTTAAAATAATAGTCTTCTAAAATGCTTTAAATTATTAAAAGATAACGCATAAAATATCTTAATCAAATTTTTCTGATTTCCAGATTAGTACTTCAATAAATTTATATTTGAAAACGTGTACACATTATATCATCAGTGAGACTAGGTTGTAAAATCTCTGATTAATTTACATTAGGTTCGTCATTATTAGCACCCTTACTGAAATGCTTCACTGAACATACTCATAGATATTATTCGTTAGGCCGGTTCATGGCTCTATATGAATTATCTGTTATGATCCCTCCGACCCTTGTATTGATCTAATGTGGAGACAAGATATGTTTTTTGTACCTTTCTTTCATTTTTCTTTGTCAGCTATGTTTGTTATACCTCCCATGACTAGTTTATCTTGTTAAAAGCAAAAAAAAAAAAAGAAAAAAAAAAAAGAGAGATTGGTTTCTCATAACAGATACATGTAGTATATTTTGTGTTAAACAAATTTTTGTTTAAAATTTTGGAACCAGAGTTTTACCAACTCACTTCATCCCCTTCCCCTAATTTATTAAGATTTTCACCATATAATTTAAATAAATAAATATAAATGCGAGCACGAGCAAACAGAATTGCTCTATTGAATTTTTGATATGCACATATTCAGCATAACGAGAATAAAATGAAAACTCTATTGAACTTTTTCTCCGTTCCTTACCACCTGAAAAAAAAGCGTTTCAACTAAATAAAACAAAAACTAATACCAAATGCAAGCAACAAGACTAGACGGCTAACCATATTTCACTTGAGAGGATCCATGTGAGGATAGAGTCCTAGGACATGTTCCGGCATAAAATCATGCCTTGTAAGTATCCCAACAATAGGCGGTCTCTGCGATACAAAGACATGCGGTTATAATCGTAAGCAAATCTCTACAGAGAAAGACAGAGGGAGACAAAGTGAGACTGACCCCTGGTGTTTTGGGCACCACACACAAGTGGCGAAGGCCAAGTTGCCGGAAAAGAATAGCCGCTTTAGCGAGAGACAAAGTCTCAAGCACAGTGTATGGAGATGTGTTAGTGATGGGATGGAGATCAACATACATCTCCATCTCCTCATCACTTATAACCAAATCTTCAATCTTGAGCCCTTTACCTAGTCCTGCTTTCGCAAAGTCGCGAGCTTTGCAACTTCTAAGAATTTGAGAACCAAATGTGGTTTTCTGCTTTGAGAATCTCTTCCCTTGGAGAAGCACAAGCAGATGGGATCTCAAGGCAATCCCACAAAGCTCAGCAGCTTCGGTAAAAGGTGGCTCATCAATTACAGGGAAACCATTATGACTTGTCATCTTCAAAGCCTGCCATATTACCCCAACCTTTTCAACTCTTGAAAAGGATAACAAAGGTCCAGCGACAACATCCTTTGCAACCAAATTCCGCATGTACGGCTCTGCATGGTCTTCCATGTAAGGCAGTCCTTTCATTATCACAATCTGGTCATATACCCCTTTGTTGAAACAATCGGCAACAGTTTTTGAGATCAAGAGTACAAGCATCACCAATGGCAGCATCAGGAGATTATTTGTAAGTTCAAGAATTATGACACATAGAGAAACCGTCATTCTCATTGTGCCTCCAAGGAAAGAAGCAGCTCCAAGCAGAGAGAACAGACCTACATCAAGCTGAGATACTGGACCAAGGAGTCTACCAACTAGCCGTCCATAAGATGCTCCAGCGAGAATCACGGGAATGAAAAGCCCAGAGGGTATAGCTATGCCGTACGTTATGATGCCAAGGCAGTACACTAAGACAAAAAATGTGGCGAGGGTGGAGATTTGGAATTCATTTTCGGACCTTGATGTAAAGAGACTGCGGATAGCATCATCATTCGTGTTGAGAAGTAGTGAGGAAAGGTCATTGTAATGGTTTGGGGGACACTGGAAACTCTTATAGATGCTGTCTCGACCTACGCTTGGGCACTTTCCCTCTGTTCCAGTGGGACAAGGGGTGCAATGTGCAAGCCATGGGAGACCAAATGCGCAGCACGAGCTCAAAATGGAGACTGCCATAACAAGCATAACTTTAAACCCCGGTCCTCTCCTGCAAGTTATGGAGACAACAAAATAAAGACTAAATCAACCATTCAGACAAGGATACGAGTTTACAAAAGAGTAAACAGGTTCTTACTCGTTTATTATGGCATATGTGCGGAGGACTTTGTCGACAAGGTAGTTGTAAAGGCTTCCAAGCACACCACCAACAACTCCAAGGAAGACTACCGCTAGCAAATCTGGTGTGCTGTAAAGCACTGATCCCGAGTTGACGTCAAACATTATGAGACCTCCTTTACCGAATAGTCCACATCTCCCCGATCGACAGAGCTCAATCAAACTTCGTAACACCACGGCTACAACTGCGGTAGTGAAGAAGGTCCTCCAAAGAAGAGCACTCCTCCACCTAACAGTGTCCACAAAATATGAGGCATCCTCTTGCCAAGACAGTCATGTTGCATGTTTAGAGAGAGGCAAAAAAGATTACCAAGAAACAGCTTCCTCGAGGGCAAAAAGCACTCCACCAACTGGAGCACGGAAAGCAGCTGCCACACCAGCAGCAGCACCGCAAGTGATCAGGTCTCTTCTGTCTCTATCGTTTTTGAAGAACCTGAGCCACTTCCAAGTCAATTTGTACTTTCGAGAACCACCTTGTCCAAGTAGATTAGCAATGCAAGCACCAGTATGCACCATGGGTCCTTCTTTTCCAACTACGAATCCGGCAGCAACTCCAAATATAGAGCCAAAGATCTGCCTCAGTACAAAATACCTTATATTAGAAACCAATGCTTGATTCAAGATAAACAAAAGATAGATGTTTTGAGACTCTTTACCTTGACAAAGAGTGTGCTCGGAGCTAATATTGAATAAGCATCTATACCATTAAGATATGCTTTAACCTCAGGTATGCCAGATCCTGCTGCTGCGGGAGCAATGAAAGCACAAAGTGAAGCAGCAGCAGTTGCCAAGATCAAGTTACTACCAGCAAATGCAAAGAATGCCTGAAAGTATCTGCAGTTTTCAAGAACACAACATCAGCTGAAGTCAAAACATTATGCCGCAGAAGCAATGACTTACTTCTGGTTGAGCATGAGATTTCCGGTGAGCAAGAGTTTGAAACCAGCTATATTCTCAACAGCAAGGTTATTTAAAAAGCCAACGACGCCAGTGGATAACCCGATAAGGAAAGCAAGCGCCCATTTGAGAATGGTATACTGAAGTATCTCAATCTTCTTCCTAGACCTCCAGTCCTGCTTGAAAAGATCATTCTCAAAGATCCTGCCAAAAAATATAATATGAGCTGGTTCCTGAACATATTACATGATAACAACAAAACACACCAAACTATACCAATCAAATTAGGCAAATAGTAGGAGGGAGACGCACATAAAAGAGACAATTCAGTCTAATAACTTTGCACTTTTTCTCAATATAATAGACTGTAACACTTTGGCTCAATGATTATAATGTCCGAAAAGCCAAAAGGTTTTTTGACCAATGAATAAAAAAATGCAACACTATGGTTAAAAGTAGATGGGACCCAAAACGTTACACTAACCAACAAATCTTATCTCTGTTACCAAAAATAATAACAAGACAGGGAAATGAAAAACTCCATAGATGCAGAAATGTTCCAAAGCATAATGGAATACATTTCAACATTTTATTAAAAAAGGAATCTATGCCGAGAAAAAGAAAAAAAAAGAGGAACACAATACTCGTAATCAAGGCTTTCGATGGGACAAGTGTTAGCTCCGACAATTGCGATCTGCGAAGTTGTGTTCTTTCGGTTCCTAGCGAGCAGAGGCTGTTGGAATGCGACAGATCCATCATCTAGAATCCCAGATATCTTCCTCTCGCACGCGTAGTTTCCTCTTTCGACCTCTATATCATGGTTTTCGCTCCGATCATCCATCTTCTATTCCACCAACTAACACACAATTTCGAGTCTCCTGGAATCTAGAACCTCTCGCGCTCAGGCAAATGTTAGTATTGCTTTTTTTTTTCTTTGGACTTTTGCTTTAGGGATGGAAGGTCATCAGAGAGTTTTGTCGCTATGTTTTTGACCTGATTTTTGTTGTTTTTCCCTATCTCCTTATTTTTTAAAGGCCGACTCTTGATCTCCTTATTTAGCAAAACAAAGTCAATATAAGACTTAATTTCCCTCTAAAAAGAGAGAGGTCGGGTGTTGATCAAAAAAAAAAAAAGAGAGAGGTCGGGTAAGAGGGGAAGTCCCGTAAATAATATATATATATATATATATATTTCTCTTTTTTTTTTTTTTTTTTTTGACAACAAAAGGCTGATCTATTACTCAAGCTTGATGTGGTCTCGAAATCCAGACCGGAATAGAACAACCAACAAACATGAGATCCCGATAAAAGGATCGGGCAGTCTTAGCTAGGTGATCGGACATAGCATTTAGAGACCGAGGTACATATCTAATCTTAAAATCTGGGAAACAAATCCGCAGCGTCGAGATCCTCTCTAGTTCCGTTGAAAAGCTTGGCCATCCATGGAGATCCTTGAGCATTGCTAACAATTCCTTGCAGTCCGTCCCGAAGCTCTGACATGGCGAATGTTGAAGCATGTTCTCCATTGCCCACCGCAGCGCTTCCAGTTCCGAATGCAACGCCGACTCCACTCTACTCACGTTACACATCCCCATTAATTGACTGTCACCCATGATATCCTTCCAATCCCATCCACACCCGGAAAATTGATCTACAGAGGTCCAAGAACCATCTATCATGCAAATATCAACTAGGCTTATGGCCTGCGGGTCTGCGTTATCATCCTCGTGTGCAATCTCAACACCCTGCTCATTGGCTTGGAACCAGGCAAGACAATCACTCTCTGCGTATCGGGCCAACTCCAACGGGTCTCTATCTATTCCTCTGAACAACTTGTCATTCCGAGCCTTCCAAATGTACCATATTAGCCAAGGGTAGGGATCCTTGTCTAGTTCTGGCTCATGGATGGCTTTCTTCCGCCAGAATAGAAAATCCATATTCGCGTAGGTGCTTTCCAAGGGAAACAAAGCCGAGCTGGAAGGTATGGATGATAAGGCCCATACCTGTAAAGCCGGTGGGCATTGGAAAATTGCATGTGCAATTGTTTCATCCGGTTCTCCGCACCGTGGGCAAAAATTATCGCATCTCATATGTCTATGATTCAAAGCGCTTGTAACAGCCACTTGTCCCGAAATGATCTGCCACATAAGATGACACATCTTCGGGGGTGCCTTAATCTTCCAAACTTGTGCTTGAAGCCTTTTAAAGCTAGGTTCATCCACCAAATTCTCCTCCTCCTTCTTCAGAACATTACGAGCTACCCAATAGCCAGACTTGACTGTGTATTGCCCACTCCTGGTGTAACTCCAGCAGTGTGTATCTCTTCGATGGATTGAACTGATTGCCATACTCCTTATGAGAGGTATATCATCAGTGTCAACATATAACGTTAACCGGTCCAGGTCCCAAGACTTTGTTTCTTGATTGATAAGATCGCTCACTCGCATATTTGGATTCAGCACTTGAGCTGATGCATGCGCTGGTCTCGCTGGGATTGTGGGAATCCATGGATCCTCCCAAACCTTAACTTCATACCCTGAATGGATTTTCTGTCTAATCCCCAATAGCAATAACTCACGTGCAGCCGAGATGCTTGTCCACACATATGATGGACTACTGACAGCGTGCTTTCGCAAAGGTGAACTAAGTATATAATACCTCCCTCTCATAACACGAGCAACCAGTGAATCCGGATTTTGTGCCAACCTCCATAGCTGCTTTCCTAGTAATGCCAGGTTAAACTCATGTATCATTCTGAATCCAATTCCACCTTCCTCCTTGGGCTTGCATAACTTATCCCATGTTGTCCAGTGTAAGCCTCTCTTCGGTGGGTTTGAACTCCACCAAAACTGTGTAATGGCACTAGCCAAGGCGTCACATATCTCCAATGGGAGCAAGAAACAAGACATAACATATGTTGGCAGAGCCAACAAGATTGACTTGATCATAACTTCTTTTCCTCCTTTGGACAACCATCTACCCGTCCATCCATTCACTCTGTTCCGAAGTTTGTCTATTAAGAAAGCAAACAGCTTGCATTTTGAGCCACTAATGTCCTCTGGTATTACTAGGTAGGTCCCCATCCATGTGTATTTTATATCCCAAGTGTATCTTTGATCTCATGCCTCACCTCTTGACCGATCCTCTTACCAAAGAATAACGAAGACTTGTCAAAATTGATGCACTGCCCAGAGGCTTTCCCATACTTTGTAACCACTTTCATTACTTCTTCACATTCACGGGGCTCCGCCTTACAGAAGAACAGGCTATCATCAGCAAATAGCAGGTGGGACACTGAAGGACACGCACGCGTGATGCGCATCCCCGTTATCTTTCCCTGATTCTCTGTGTGATTAAGAAGGCTAACGAGCGCTTCCGTGCATAGAATAAAAATGAAAGGGGACAAAGGATCCCCCTGACGGAGGCCTCTCTCCGGGACAATATTCCCTCGTGGCTGTCCATTCATGAGTACCTTATACTTCATTGTCGTTATGCAGCGCATAATCCAAGTAATCCAGATTTCAGAGAAACCCATCTTTCTCATGGTGGCTTCAATGAAAGAACATTTCATACGATCATAAGCCTTACTCATGTTTGTCTTTATAGTCATTCTCTTACTGCGCCCACTTGGTTTTGTTCTTAAGGCGTGAAATAATTCCTGGGCAATCATTATGTTGTTTGATATCTGTCTTCCAGCAACAAAGGCTGACTGGGTTTCAGAAATCCTATCTGGAAGAACCTTTTTCAGTCTTTGGCATAAAACCTTTGATATAATCTTGTAACAAACATTGCAAAGACTGATGGGTCGCAGTTGACTCATCTGATTTGGCTTTTCCACCTTTGGGATAAGGCATATATTAGTATCAGTGAGCCCTGGCGGAATAGTGCCCTGAAATAAGAAATCATTAACCATACGAGTTAAATCATCCTTAACGATGTCCCAAAAATTTTGATAGAACAAAGCTGTCATTCCGTCGGGTCCAGGAGCTTTCTCAGGATGCATTGCAAACAGGGCTAATTTCACTTCCCATTCTGTGACTGGAGCTGTGAGCCCCTCATTGTCTGTAGGTGTAATTGTAGTGGTTACTTCTGAAAGTGCCTCCTCGATCTCCTCAGGGTTTGATGATTGAAAGATTTGTCGAAAATAACTGGTAGCAATGGCTACCATGCCTTCCTCATCCTCCACCACGTTCCCCTCTGCATCGAGAAGTTGGGTTATCCTGTTCCTCGCTCTCCACTGCTTTGTTAAAGCATGGAAAAATTTTGTGTTTCGATCTCCCTCCCGTAACCAAAACACCCTACACTTCTGCTTCCAGAATAATTCCTCCGCCTTAAGAGCATCAGACAATTCTTTTAAAGCCTCCGCTATTTCTTCCGTAGTGGCATCATCATTGGAGGATAATCGATCCACCTTTTCCTTTAACTCCTCTACAGTTTTCTCTGAATTCAGATTATGTTGTCTTTTCCAATCACATAACGCCCGTCTGCAGCTTATAATGTGCTCCATAATACTTGCTCCTGGTGGTAAATCTGGTGATTTCCAACCCTCAAGTATAATCTGTCTGAGTTCCTCATTCTGAAGCCAACGTTTATCAAATTTAAAGTTTTTCGATCTTCGTGGCTTCTTTTTCAGAATGTCAGCCAGGATTGGACGATGATCCGAACCTCAGAGCCTCAGATACTGAACTTTGGAATGAGGAAATTTCTCATGCCAATTCTCATTACCCACAGCCCTATCAAGTCGACACCTAACAGTATTATTTCCTGCTCTTCTTCCTACCCATGAAAGCATATTTCCTGTGAAAGCAAATTCCAGCATGCCACAATCACTGAGCATCTGCTTAAAAGGTAAGAAAGAGCTGTCTGTGCGTTGTCTACCTCCCTCATTCTCTTCATGACAAGTAATTTCATTAAAATCACCAATCATAAACCATGGTCCATTTCTTGTAGTTGAGAAACGCGTAAGACGTTCCCAAACTAGATCTCTTCTCTCTACTACAGGATCCCCATAAACAAATGTCATATATAATTTTATTCCATCAATGACTGCTTCAATATCAATCATTCTGTTATTCGAAAATAAAATCCTAACTTGAAAATCATCCATAAAAAATAAAGCTAAACCTCCGCTGAGACCAAGTGGCTCAACGGTAAACAAACGATCAAATCCTAAGTCGGCCTGAATGTCTTGTAACAGCAGCCTCCTATTCTTTGTTTCAGAAAGGAACACTAGTCCTGGGCGATGCTTCTGACACATCTCCGTAAGGCGTCGAACTGTGAGGTCAGTTCCAATCTCTCGACAGTTCCAACTGAGTGTCTTCATGGATGATATTGGGATGGGTTTTTGGATCCCACCGAACCACTTGCTTTGTTTGCCTTAGACCTATCCATTCTGGCATTAAGACTGAGGTTTTTCGGTTTAGCCTTGTCACCAATGTGTCTCTGAGCAGTAAAACTTAGGATTCTCAAGCGTGGAGATCCCCGACGGAGGACCTCCTTTTTCCTAGGAGTTCGTCTGCTTCCACTTCTCCCTCCTTTCGAGCTTCTTGAGCTTCTCTCCTTCTCAGCGTGACGTGATATGTGTGTGTACCGGCTGTGCCTCCAAGTCCTTGAGCTCCTCATCAAAAAGATCATCTTCCACCCCCATTCTTTCCACTTCCTCGTCCACATCCATCTTTTCCACTTCCTCATTCATAGCATCACCCATATCAGACAAAGCCTCAATCACTATAGCATCGTCATCCACAAACATAGGATTACCGATGCAGTGCGTCAAAGAACGCACTACACTCTTCGGACGGACAGTCACATTATCCTTCATATGTGGTGATGTAATCTTACTAGCTAGCCTCTTCTTTTGTGGACTTGCGTGGGTCACCGTTTTACCAACCAACAGACCACGCTCATTACTCGATAGAGCTTCATCCTCCCCGACTTCCTCACGGTCGTAAGGACCAAAGCGAGGAGGCCTGTCACTGTTTCCAGTACGTGAGTGTCTATTCCCTTGCGCATCACCTCTATGGCTACTCTGATGGGAAGTGACAGCGTCAGTAAGAAGCAGAGGAGCACGACC